GCAACCCACACCGCATCCCTCTCACCCCCCCGCCCACCCGCACACCCACACACACACCCCCACACCCACACCCACACCCACCCACACCCACACGCCCACACCCACCCTAGTAGCTAAAGGGACTGGAAAAAAGGGTTCATCTTCACAATAGAGAGGTGCATTTCCAGCAAAAATCGCTCCGTCGGACCTGAGAGTGTTCAGAATAAGGAGGTGTTCACTAATAGAGGTTTTACTGTATTTAGGAAAAAGTTGACCATTTGTTCGCGTTCAGTTTCTCCGATTGCTGTCAAAGTTTTAAGTAATTAGTGCAAACGAAAATATCTGGCTTCAGTTATGAGACTCATTCGGAGTGATTCATTAATCAGCACCTCGCGTGGTACTTCATCGTTTCGCAAATATTCAATAATATAAATAAAGATTTTGTCATTAAGATCGATAAAGATACTCTGATCGGTTGGATCACGTTCGAGTTCCCATTGCTGGGAGAACAGTGCCGTAAAAATGTGTCCTTTTCTCGAGTAAGAGTCTCGACAGTGGTTGAATAAATATCACCTTCAACATCGAGCTTGACTTTACCTCTGATCGTTGCTTTTGCCAACTTTTCTTGATGTCTTTCCATTCCTTTTGAACATTCCATGCATTGGCCAATTCTTATTCTAAGTTTGTGTTTACATCCGCAGTTTGACTGCAAAACTTCTCGAAATTAGTTCTAAGCTCATTCAAGTCCTTCCGAGGTTTATCGAGAGATATACACATATTTGTGTTTATGTGTTCGCTATGCAATGAAAGAAGTATATTTCTTTCCGTCAACTTACGCGTTGCCACACTTCGTTTTTCAAGGTGAACGTGAAGAAAAGGTTCATTCTGTTCTTCACGCATTATTCTTCACTGCTTCAGACATATATGAAACACAGTCATGAAGCGTAGGCGGTAACAGAGAACACCTTCTGAGCCATCAGACTATTTGGAACACGCGTCATTTTAAGGGTGTCGATGAGTGATGCGCGCTTTTTATTAAACATATATTAGCGTCGAAACACACATTCTCTAGACAACACCTGTGACTTTCGAGAGTGTGGATGTATGAATATGGGAGAAGGGAGAATGCACACCCCAACACTCCGAATTCACATTCCACCCACCCTCACACCCTAGCATATACATACCTGTAAGCTGTCGTATCTATTACCGTTCTCTGACGTCGACAATCACTGAAGGAGGAGGAGGCGACTGATACAATGATACTATGTTGACTTGCCGAGAATAAGCATCGTTTTCAAGCTTTTCCTCCTACGACATTATGCTTGTATAACTGTTCTATTCTAAACGTTGCAAACTACTTGTTCGTCGATGGTCTGTGCGTTTCACTCGCATGCCAAAAATGGTTTGACTCGACATACCATCACTCATAACTCATATTATCTATGTCCAGTTTTATATACTTCCTACTTTGTGTTTTGCTTTAATTGCTTTTCATTCTTTATAAGCAACTTATTTTCACAGCAACTTGTCTCTTTAGGCTCGACAATGGCTAGATGGTTAAATGAATTTCGCATGATAAAAAGAGTAAAAGTTGTAACGCTGACAATCATTTTTGGTAATATGAGTCAAGCTCAATGTTTTAGTGACGAAATACGATATTATCAACATGATGAAGTCTTAAAATGTGTGTTTGATACTTTTCCTACAAACACCTGCGTCACAACATGAAGAACTGGAAGAATCTATGTGCCCTGTTATATTAGAAAAAATAAGCGACAAAAAAAAACTAAATTGTGAGAATTTATCGTAGTAACATCTTTTTCTGTTCTTATTTACGAATGACGTGCGAATCCGTTACTCATCGAGCCCAGCTATTTTTTATTCGATCTTCTCTCAACAAGTATCCTGTTTCTCTATAATCCCACGTTGCAATTGGGAATAAAAGAGCGTGTAGATATCTAAAAACTTACAACACAATTTACGTCACAATGCATATTATATTTCGCCTTCTGTTACTTGTGGCACTCTTTACGACGCTCAGTTATAGTCAAGGCGCTCGTGGTGGAATTCGAATTCGTGGAACTCAGAGTATAAGTAAATCTTTCATCCAAATACGAACAGTTTCAATAAAGTATATGGATGAATTCTAGGTAGAATAGTCAACGGAAGTTGTGTAGGATCGAATTGTCGGTCAACGGGAATTATTGTTGGCAGTACAATTGGTAGTATTTTTGCCTTTATTGCGATTATTTTCTTCTCTGTTTACTGTTACCGTCGATATCGACGTCGACAGTTACAGTCAAATGCTACAGTCAACTATCAAAGCGACCATAGAAACGATAGTACATTCCATTCGATGAATGAACTAGCATATTTCAAAAGTGGATATTGGACGAGTCGATATCATCAATATGGTCGTTGGCATGGGCCTCATAAAATGTCACTCATGTTTGATCAGTATACAAGTACAGTGACTGGACATGGATATGATGATGTCGGTCCGTTCACTATTAGTGGAACATTTTCTGTAGAAAATCAGCAGATAGTGTTGAACAAAAGTTATCAACCAGATGCTGGTGATCTTAAAGAAAACTTTGGACATACAGTAACTATAGAATTGACTTGGAACCAAAATAATGCACAATTCGAAGGCAAATGGCATGTGAAAACTAATAGCTACCGTGTTAAAGATAAATTCGAACTAAAGCTTGGAGAATCTTGGTGAAGAACCCTTTAAAAAAGCGGACAAAGTGAAACATTTGCTTTAATATTATTTTGCTGTAACTGCTTGTACCTTGTTCAAAAATATTTTTTGGTTTACAAACTACTTTCAGATATAAAACAGACAATAAATTGTCTAAGTTTGTAGATTGATGATGAAATGAACGAACATGTGAAGATTTATACATTCTAGAGTAGAAGCTAGTGGTAGTTGATCCTTTTTTAAGAGTTTTATCTGCAGACCAACCCAAGTATAAAAAAAGCATATATAATTCATCTGTATCGATCGATTTCTACTCATCGTCTTCTTTTACAAGTCGTTTCGGACCTTAGAACCTTGCTGAATTCAACGGATCAGCAAAAACAACTGTCAAATCAACCTCTTTAGCGATGAATTATTATATAAAGAAAATCTCTTCAATAGACTAACCAAAGTTCAAAAACTCATGGCACTCATATCCACACCCACCCATCCACATCCCTAGTTTAATAATAGCATAGTCACCTGCTCTAATGAGCTTTGAAGCTTCTTCAATAACTTTATCTGGTTGTTGATCAGTTTTTGAGATTAACTCAACTAATTTATGGCTACCTCTCATTTGCGAACATAAAGAAGACAAATTCGATGTAAATAAAATTTTTTTTAAAATTTGTTTGATTTAAATTTGATTCTCTTATTAATTTTTTTATAGAACGAGTAAAATTAATATTTAACTTTTGAAAATTCGATTATTGCGAACGAATATTGAAAGAAATTGTTTTAAAAGATTTTTATAAAAATTAATTTATTTTAGAGTATGCTGCAATTTGTAGAGGTCATTACTTTTTTAACAAAAAATATTTTTTAAATGTTCAGATAGACACTGCAATTTGTAGAGAGCGCAACTTTCTGATATTAGAAAATCCTTGATACTTACTGCAATTTGTAGAAGACGTAAGCTTTTGATCGAAGAAGCTTTTGAAACTTAGCAGTACTTCTATTATTTGTAGCGAAAGCTAGATTTTAGTTGAACTAAAGCATTTCTTTGAATCTGGCTCAAAAAATTTAAATGTAAGTAAAAAAATATAATGTAATAGTCAGGTCTTTCTTTTATTATTGCTAAGCTAATACTGATAATTCACGAGCAAAGGTCAGGGATTATGGATACACTAAGCTTGACTTCATTCAAAGATAAAGCGATCTCTTAAGAAGGCTGTATCAAAACTTGTTATGATAACTTGATATTTTTTTAAGATTGTGACATGAAAGAACCAAATGGTGTTCGTTAAGAGAAGACACTCATTAACATTTATATGTGTGAGCGACCTTGTTCGAGACATCATCGTTGCATTTATGATTTTTGTACATGAACGCTTTCTTATCGCAACCGATAATCTCCATCAATATCCGATCCCATTTTACCATCATAATTGCTTT